TCGTTTTTTTTTTCAAAGAACAGGATGGGGATGCTCGATATCTCCTTGAGGGGTGTGAATTGAAGATTGTGGTGTTCACACTCAGTGTTCACCGAACACTCAAGGTGTTCTGGATTGAGCAACACTATTCCTGCTGGTGAAATTAAAGGAAAATGTTAATTTTTAAGTCGTATAGTTAGAACCTCTCATAAATGACCACGTCTCGTAAACTACCGCGACCAGAGTTTTGGATGACATTTATAAAATTCAGTTTTTCATTGTTCTTACCGTCATGTAGATAATCATTTGAGGCATGGTTTAATCTCTATGTTCGCTGTTTGTACTACTCTGCTAAGAGTATACAAAAAAACTTTTACTGCATGACAACATGAAAATAGGCGTGGTAAACCAGAAATTGCGTGCAATGAATTTTCGTCCAAAATGTAGGTGTGTTTTGAACATTTTAATGACCTCATTTGTATAGTTCATATAGTATGGAGCAAGTAATAAGGGTGATTGATCATTTATACAATAGTATTGAAAGTTTAAAAAAAGTTTGAAAATCAGGGGCACAAGCAAAACATTAAATGTGTCATCATTTCGTAATTTCTATGGTCTATTAAGTCTCGTAAGCCATACAGCTCTCAATAAGCATGCAAGAATTTTTTTTGGCTTAGTTATTGAAAATGGCTCTTACACAGAAACCGGATGAAGGCGGGAGATGGGTGGGTGAGGGGGGATGGGAATTTTCCTTCCAGTGAAAGGGCCAGGAATGCTTATCAGAATTAAAATTGGAATGAAACTTCCAAATAAGACCAATCTGGCGTGGATCATTCTTAGGAAGAATCTAAAAATAAGCTATCTATTGTGACTTAAAAAGTGATGGATAGACTTTTGTTAGGCTTAATTGGTTTTATCTGACAGCCGAACTTCCCGTAACTGAGCACCAATAATGCAAAGATTTAGTGGTGCCTTACGGGAGGTGGACGTTTACGAGAATCAAACAACAGGGATCCCAGCCCAGAAAGTTCCAAACACACCTGCATAAAAAAATATGCTCGAGCAGAAATCGAAAACCATTAGTCTGTAATTTAAATCGCACTTGTGAACGATTATCTAAATATTCTAAAGCGGCAAGGGAGCTAAAACAATATAACCGTTTTGGGAAATGTGAATTTAAAATTTATATGGGTAAAATGGAGACCACTTGATCTAAAATTTATTAAAGCATTGCTTATAATGAATCTGAGTTGTCGTCCCTCACGTCGTTCAAATCGTCTCTGCTCCTCCATTTATACTATCAATAGAATGAAAAGACTGGGAAACTTAATACAAAAATTGTTTTACAGATGAAAGTGTTTATTATTTCTTTAAAGAAGTTTAACTGGATCTTTTTGCAATAGATCGGGGACGAACATCAAAAGGTTTTATTATCATATTGCCGTGACGCATTTATGCGACTTATCTTACAAACTTTAGTTCTGATCATTAATCTTTCATCAACTCTTTGCAGACAAGGCCCCAAAAATCTGTCTGTCCTTTTATGTCCTTTTAAAAGATAAATTAATTTCTACGTGATATTAAGAAAACGATGACTGCTGCATGCGCCACAAAACCCCGACATTACAATTCAGGCACCTGTGCATACCGCAGCTTTAAATACGTTTTACCATCGATAGACAGGGAAAAAACAATCAGGATAATCTTTTTAGACAAAAAAGCGCCGATGATAATACCTTGGCTTTATACTTGATTAAAATATCTTCAAATGTTGCAAAATAAGCGGGTTTTTTTTATTATTGTATTTGTCAGGATTCCCACTTCCAATATCATGTTTTCAGCGCAATTTGAAGAATTAAGTTGAATAAATTGGCATCATCTAAATTCCATTTTTTATACAAGTTCACCTGTCAGTTGCTTTACTGAAGCATTGTGCAAAACTGCTGTGCCGGTCGGGTGTCCAGTGCTGTTTTTCCTGGTACAGGCCTTAAAAGAAAAGAACGTTTCAACCATAAAGACATGGTTAAAGCAAGCTTGCTATTTTACATACTCCCTACGGCTCATTATCCCGCATCGCATATCCTTTTCGAGGAGTGCGTGGTCCGTTCTTCTCTGATACGTCGCCGTATAAGTGTTTGCTCGTGTAAAGAGTTTTTCACATCAGCTTCGACAAAATGCTAGTTTCAATTCGTTCGCAACCGATAATAGCGTTTATTATCGCGCTCAACAAGAAGATGTAACGAAAGAAGAAAGTGGTAGTGTAGGGCGTCATAGAAATGCGGCTAGACGGGACCGACTTGAGCCTTAATACTGATAGTTACCATCAGAGAAAGCATGGCAACTCCGCTTCCGGCTCCTATCACCTTTCTTTTGAGTCTGTACAGAGTGAAATGCTAGAGTTGTTTTAATTTCCATGAGTCTGCTCAGGTCAGTGGGCAGAGACTTTTCCGCTGTTTCGCGGGCACAGGCTTGTTAATATGGTCGTAAATTCTTTTCTTTTTACTCTCGTGAAATAGGGAGTATCCTTTCCCTCTCTTCTGTTTTAACCAAAATAGCCACAAGGGAAGCAATAACGTCCCAAATATAGTCCCATAGAGCAATTCGACACAACTCGTACCCAGTCCCACGCACAAACCCAAAATGGCCTGGGCCTACAACGGGTATCAGGGGCCCGTTTCTCGAAAGTCCCGATAATTAACGGGCCCGGTAAGCTGTCTCCGTTTACATTAAAGATCGAGGTTTCAATAGTTTTGCATCTAACACGATAAAACTGTCAGTTAATGAAGCGAAATGGAGTAGTTTGCTAGCCTGGACCCGCGCTCTTATTCTTTATATTTCGATTTGAATATTTGATTTCGGGCCCGTAAAGTAACCGGGACTTTCGAGAAACGGACCCCAGCTTTGGCG